CCAAAAAGCACTTCTCTCGATGATCTTCTAAAAATTATAATATAACATTTATAAACGATTCAAAATTTAACAAACAATAACTTTATAATATTGTTATTATTTCCTAAATTTTGAATCGTTAATAGTTTGAAGTTTATCATTATATAGTAATATCTTGTTATTATGCATAATTTTTTTTTAACTCTTTGGTTGTTCTTAAATATTTTTTTTAATATTAAAGAATAAAAAGTATATCAATACTTGACAAGTTCTGAACTTTTTTTAGAGTCTTTCAATCGAGCTGTCTTTGGTCGCGCATCAATAAGCTAAAATTAAAAATTTATAAGATAATAATTAAGCAAAAGATTTAGATACAAAATCAAAAAAAAAAAAAAAAAAAAAAATACTTACTGCAAAAAATGCAACACAAAGCAAAAAAACGCAAACACGTGTCATTTTAGGGTATGTGTTGGTATACAATAAACATGAATCTTCTGTTTTGTTTCTTTTTATTGCTTTGCTGATTTGGATTAGCTTTATAGGATTGCCAATTCGGATTATAATATAGAATAAATTCTAATTCAAATTAAACAACAAACAACAAGCTGAATACCAAACTTAATAACTAAATTAGATAAAGAAAAATATTAATGCAATTGCTAACAGCGGAAATTATTTTAAGATATAAAAATAATTAACAAAAAATCTCTTTAGCGCGGTATCTGCCTAAAAGATTTTTTTAAAATAAGGTTATTATTTTTGTGAAAGACAAACAATAGGTAGCGTCTTTGAAAAAGTTTAACCCTGCATGAAGTAAATTTAGAACTATTTGTTTTCTGTCTTTTATCCCTTCCATATTTCAAAGTGCTGTTTCTATGGCGTCACTACTTTGTTCCCAGCTAGACATTTGTATATACACAGACTCCTTGTTGTCGCACTGATTAAGTTAAGATGACAAGTAGGTAGCTGGTTGACACCATGCGGTAATGAAAAAGAATGTTCTTAATAAAAAATGTTCAGATAAATTAGGCAAAAATCTTGTTTGTTATTTAGCAAACAGTCTTGCAATTAAAAAATCGCAACGAAACCAAATTGCATGTTTTTTAGTCGAAGCTAAAACATATGCTCACAGCGTTTACGATAAGAAATGAGTACACGTAAATTAATGACTTAAGTCAAATGTAAATTGTTACATGTTTTAGTATTTTAATGGGTATTATATATTTTCTTAAACTAATGTAAGAAAAAATTTTCATAAGAAAAAAGACATTATCATGGTAATTAATTCTTTCGTAACAAAAGTCGATACCGCAAAACGCAGTGAATAGGGTCAGTAAGATAAATAGAGACAGAAAACAGAAAAGTTTTTTAGACGTTCAAAAAGTGAAAGGGGCAGCAGTAGGGATGGCTCTTTCACTTACTTTTTTTTTCTTACACAATTAAGTTAATTTTTATCAAAAGTAAATTACATAAGTAATTTTAAACATTTTATGCAAATTTACATTTCCGTATAAATAATTAAGTTTTTTGAAACAACTGATACTTTAGGTTTTTTTTACTTTCAAAAGTAAGTTATATAAAAGAAGATTACATCAAAAAGTAATTTACTTATACATGTAAAAGTTAGTCACCTAAAAAATCCGTTTACTTTTACATTTAAAAGTTAATTACTTTTGAAAATGATATTACGTACTTTAAAAAATCATTGGTTTTTCATCTGATAATATGAATACGCTAATTTAATATTAGTCGAGTTACGTCATTTTTTAGGCTTTTCTATTTTAAAGTAGTTTCTTGGCTTTTCTATACGCGTTTTTTTTTTTAATTTTATTTACTAACAACGCGTATTACGGGTTGCTTACTGCTAGTTATCGGATAATATGAATACGCTAATTTAATATTAGTCGAGTTACGTCATTTTCTAGGCTTTTCTATTTTAAAGTAGTTTATAGGCTTTTCTATAAGCCTTTTTTTTTAATTTTATTTACTAACAACGCGTATTACGGGTTGCTTACTGCTAGTTATATTATTATTACATCTCAAAACTTATGCAAGTAGACACCATTATATTGGTTACTATAGAGTCTTTAAATGAGTTTATTATCGTTTTTAACAAAACTATTAATACTGTTAATTAAAGATGATGTTGATTAAGTAATTCTAATTGGTTTGGCAATAAAAGGAATCGCCGCGTTTTCAAATTATGAAACCTTTTAACATTGCTTCTAACTTGCAATAATACCACTCAATATTTGCATTTAAATCAATTTGAAATCTTGTATTTTGTTTAATTTAAATTTTCATGAATAATATTTTTTTAAACCATTTTATTTTAGATGTTAAAAAAATAAAATTATTCAAAATTTCTATTATTTATGCAATAGAAAAATGCAAACTTTCTTGTTTTTGTATGTTATTTTATAAAAAGAGAAACAGGTGAATTTGGTATTTCAGCTACATATATATTAATTTTTTAAATATATTCATAAAAAATATAAAACTATAAATATCAACTAAAATAAAATTATTAAACTGAAACTTCCGAAAAGAGCATTTTTATCAATTTTTAATGACAAGTTTTTAATGACTTTATTATGTATAGATATTATGGGGCTAGGCAATAAGACTATTTTTGTCTTTCTCGTATATTTTGCAAAAGAAAAGTAATAATTTGTATCGGTAATTTAGAAAAATAAAAATTACAAAAATTAAAAATCAAACACTGTATTAAAATGTCTTTGAGTAAAAAAAACAAAAAACGATGACAAAAATCAATGACGAAACTAAACTTGAAAAAAAAAAAATTAACTTGATAATTATCAAATTAATAATAATAAAAATAAGAATAATTTGAACAGTATTATAATATTGTTTAAAAAATAAAAATGATCAGGTAGACTAAAGTAAAACTTATAATACAAGAACTTCATTTTCTTCGTTATTATTTGACAAATTTAAAGTCTTATACCACAAATTAAAGTCCGTGTCATTTGATTACTTATACCACAGAGTTAAATTAACTTTCTCTCGAACTTTTGAATGAGAAACAGAATTTGATTATCAGAAAAACTTATAACTTGATTGAAGATAATATTTTTATTCCCCTAAGTAATTTAACGCCTATAAAATAAATAAGTAAATAAAATATAAAGTAACGCCTTTATAAAAGACGTCTAGAAAATGTCTTAAAAATTGACGTCTTCTAGACGTCTTTTTATCTTTTACAAAAAGAAGCCTTTTGAACGTCATTTTAAAAACGCATTCATAAAAGACGTCTAAAATATGTCTTCAAAACGTCTACAAAAGTGCGTCTTTACCTAGACTAGTTTTAGTCGTCTATAAGTGTCTAAAATGCGTCTTGTGCTTACTGGGTAGCAGTACCAATCGTAAAACAAAAAAACAATTTTTACAAAAGAGCACATTGAAATGCTTAAGCATTTCCACTTCTCTTAATTTTTCGAAGCGTACAGTTTAAAATCTTGTCGTTAAGTTAAACAGAGGAGAATTCGATGACATGACTGCATTCAAGTCGTTTTCTGATAAATAACGAGGTAAACGAGGAAAAATATTATCGAATTATGCGTACAAAAATCAATCTTTGCACGCAAGAAGCAATAAAAGAAAATCTTTCTGCAGCAGGCTTCAACGTCCCAGCAAGGAAAAATACGTATATTATACATATAAAATACGTCTTTGTCCTACTCTTCGATACGTATATTCTAATTCTTAAATGCAAATCTATAATACGTATTAATTAGATGATTACAATGCGTTGGTAATAGACGTATAATATACGTATTTAAAATACGTCTCAGATATCTATAATTTAAGTATTAAATGCAAATCTATAATTCGTATTAATTAGATAAATAAAATGCGTTGATAATAGACGTATATAAGACGTATTTAAAATTATTAGGTTTCTATAATTTCTGTATTAAATGCAAATCTGTTTATTTATAGATGTCAAATCTGTAATACATGTTCGCAAAATGAAGAGTAGATTGTTGTATTATCTACCGTTGTATAATTATTGCGGAAATAGATTAATTTCTATCTTCGCAGCCATTGTTTTACCACAAAAATTGTGTTGTACAACCGACGTTAATTTGTGCAACTATGCTAGACAACGTTTCCATTATAAAACAAAGTTGTTACAGAACTGTTGTACAACATTTCTACAACTATTGGAAACCAAGCTTAAAAGAACATTAAAACATTTTGAATTGTATAATATTATTGTTTATTTATTTAAAAAAAGTAACTATATACTATAACATAAACTATATACATATAATATAATATAAATGTTAGATATCAATGGAATGGTTCAATCTTCCTGGTGCATTCTTTAGTTTATTCCCGACAACTCTAAATAATTCTTTTTCACTAACGGTATACCTGTCTTGTAACGCTTCTAAAATAAGTTAAGCAAAAATATTTAAAATTAAAAATATCGTCAGCTTAATATATATATAGTTGAATACGACACTTAAGTGTCGCATTTATCATTTTTGAAAAAAATGACTATGTACAATATAAATTGTATCTCACCAAACATAACGTCCTTTAACTTAAGGTTTTCAAACGATATTTTGTTTTCTCTGCCTTTACGTTTACTCCCTTTAATGTTCATATTCGCCATCAGGTTTACGGAAAATAATCTAAAATCGAAAAAATATTAAAGGTAAGATCTGAAGGTGAGATCTGAATGTTGTTAAATTCATTCTTGTTTACCGCTTATTTTGACTGTTATTGTATAAAAAAATGTAATTTAAAAAAAAGCTGCAACAAATTGTTTTAAAACAAATCAATCAGAACGCATAAAAAGTAAGTAGTGATTTTTTGGAAAACAAAAAGTGAAAACGCTATATTTTTCTTTGGATTTTACCTCAATACACTGAGTTTCTAAATTAAAATCCTTATTCATTTGTATGTTCATTTTAAAAAATGTGTATATTATTCTATATATTAAATCTACATATTATTTATCGTATATCTTACATTTTTTTACAAAAATTATGCTTTCTTAATTAAAAATAGAAAATAAAACATACTTTCCCAACATATTTCTGGTACACTCTGCCATATCCACACCACCAATATTCTTCAGTTTAGATAACTAAAAAAAAACGTTATTTAAAGCTTATTTAAGAAGTTTTCAACCCCTTTCTAAATAGACTGTTTAAAAGATATGATGTGTATGCTTTATTCAATATCCATTATTTTTTATGTATTAAAAAATCATTTTTATCTCTTTAATAATTACATTATTGCAAGAAATAAAAATCATTATAATTGCAATGATAACACAATTTAAAAAAGTCAATATTACCAAAAAGTCAATATTATTAATTAACATATATATAAAAAAAAAAGCTTATAATTGCTTTTCGCTGCACATCATCCTTGATAACTTCTTCTAGTTCATCGAGTTGGTCAGAGTTATTAATTTTTTCGATATGAAATTTACTATTTTCTGGGTCCTTAACCTCTACTAATTTTGAAAGAAGATCTCTAATTTCAACAAGATACCGAAGCGACTTGCGTTGATACTCTAGAATATTGAAAACGTTTTTGTTTAAATTTTTTTTAATTGTAAAATTTAACATTGTATCTAATGATTCAATAATTGATATAATAAATTTTAGCAAACAATTTTTTTTTAACTATTTATCAAATTAAAGCCAAACTCACTTCCTTTTTCCATTGGAAACGGTTGCTTTTCTTTTTCTAAACAATAAACTACTTTTCAGATCACATTTAAATTGGAGTCGATTAGAGTGTCAAAACAAAGTTATACACTTACTTGACTTTTTGTCACATTTAGTCACAGTACAGTGACTTGGTGATTGAGACTGACTTTCTTCTTCCAATGGAAACTGTTGCTTTTCTTTTTCTAAACAATAAATCCCTTTTTCAGATCACATTTAAATTGGAATTGATTAGAATGTCAAAACAAAGTTTTAAACTTACTTGACTTTTTTTTGCGTTTAGTAACAGCATGGTGACTTGTAGATTGAGACTGACTTTCTTCTTCCATAGGAAACTGTTGCTTTTCTTTTTCTAAACAATAAATCCCTTTTTCAGATCACATTTAAATTGGAATCGATTAGAGTGTCAAAACGAAGTTATACACTTACTTGACATTATGTCGCGTTTAGCCACAGCATGGTGACTTGGTGATTAAGACTGACTTTCTTCTTCCAATGGAAACTGTTGCTTTTCTTTTTCTAAAAAATAAATCCCTTTTTCAGATCAAATTTAAATTGGAATTGATTAGAATGTCAAAACAAAGTTTTAAACTTACTTGACTTTTTGTTTGGTTTAGCCCCAGCATGGTGACTTGGTGATTGAGAGTTTATATTTCTTTTTTTATTTAATCGAATAAAATCTACTATCTCATCATCATCAGATGTTGCATCTATTGCAAAAAATTGTTCAAATATAAGTAAAAATAAATAGTATCTAGTGAGTCATATCAAAATATATGAAAATATATAACTAACATTCTCAGTTGATTTTTTTTCTCATTTTGCTGCATTTAAGTAAGGATTTTATATACTTATTTACTAGGTGAGCTAACTTCACTATGGATAAGGACTTAAAGTTATTTCTAATTTTAAGAAATTATTTATAAATAATCTTATTACTGCATTACCTGAATGTAGTGTCAGATCTTTTACTGTTTTATCTAAAAATGAAGCATTGTCATTGATGATGGCTACAGTTTCTGCTTTAAAGTAAACGTCTAATGTTAAAATATTATTTGATGATGCAAAAAAATTAAATGAACAATAATAGCAAGAAAATTATGAAAAATATGAAAAGGTTAATAAAATACTTTTATTTTCTTTGAGGATGTCGATTGACAGTTTGTAGGAGGAAGGAGGTTTTGGTAGTAAAATAGGGACATCTTTGCTGATTCCTGTTAGAGATATCAACAGAGATAAATAATATATTAGTAGAATTAACATCAAGATAATTAGTGTGGAGGGTGCAACCTAATTTCAGCTAAATCATTAAAACAAGTTTGAACCTGAGGTCACTTGATTGCTAAATTCATCATCAGTGGTAACTTGCTCACCGCAAGATGTAAAATTAAAGTCATTGCACAACTGTCTATCTTCTGGAAATATGAAAACAGTTGAAATAAATTAGGGATATAAATAAACAAATAACAAAGATGAAAAGCAAATTGTTAGGAAAAAACTGATTAAAAAAAACTTTTAACTAAAACAAAAAAAAGTTAAAAAAAAAAGAAATAGGACTTGCCATCTACAATTTTTGTTTTTAACCATTTAAACTTTCTCCATGATTCATGGTCAACCTCAATATTTTCAGAAATGGCCCTCTGAACTGACATTGTAGAAGGCCAAAAAACAACACCCATTTCTTCATTGATCCAATTTGCAGGAAGCACATCTTCAAAAAAGGAATTTTCATTTTCTTGCCACACAACCCTTGCCCAAAGTATTTTTTTTAGCTTAATATTACAAGCCATTATATAAATTAAGTATATAACCTAAAAGAAATAACTAAATAATATTGACAAATTGATTCTTTTATTTATAAGCAACCCAATAACAGTTTAAGTTAATTCAGTTAAATTATACTAAATTCAATGTTTTATATAGCTTGATTTAAATGTAACTAAAAAAACGACTTTTTTCATCCTTTTTAATTAAATTCAACAAAGAATAACATTGTTTTAAACAGAGTTTTTTCATCCTTAATAAATATTTTATAAGATTAACATCATATATTACATTGCTGATACTTCAAAATTACACTTCCAAATAAAGTTTCTATTATTGACAAACTTTTAAATACAAAATGTTATAGTAGGAAAAAAAAAACTTAGAACTTTTCAGTATGCAATAAAGGAAAACAAACATAACCATTTTTAAACGGAAGAATTACTACCTTATTGATAAGCTCAGACTTATGTATAGTTTCTTGGTGCACGCGCAACTTACTCATTTAAGGAACAAATGCAACATTCATTTCTTTTGAATCAAGCGGAATATTGTAAAAAGAAGATATCTGATTTAATCTAAATTTATCACAAATATAGCGGCCGCAATCCAATTTTTCTTTCAACAAGCAAAAAGTTTGATCTTTAATAAAGAAGCAAGAATCCCGGAATCGAAGTGATATTTCAACTGAAATGGTCTTTGTTGATTGAAATGTTACTTCATTAAACTCAGCATGCCGTTTTGCCACCTGAACCACAGGATTACTTGAATTTCGTACATACTTTTTTAGTTTTTGCATATAGTTTTCAAAAGGAAAGGCTGATATTTGATTTAGTGAACACCCCATATAAATAACATCGTCGTGTATATGGACTAGGTTGTGTACATTGTAAACGCAGAAGTCATCACCATATATGTCCTTTGCTGACCTAACAAAATATACAAGCAAATTGTGAGCATAAACAACAAAATGATTTCTGAAATCATTGTCTTCAGTCAAAAGTATTCTCATAGCAACATGAAAACACAAAAAATGTTCATATGTTTTTTTGGAAACAATGCTTTTTAAAACTAAAGGCCCTGTGTATAGTAAGAACTGCCTAAATTCAGTAGCTTTCCAAAATGGTAATTCGGACAATGATCTAGGTTGCCGAACAAAATCAGAAGGTAGCATACCATTTAAGGCCACTAACCTTGCAGATAAGTCTTGAACTTGTAAATTTGATAGCCTACAGATTCTTGGCCCTTGCTTTAAAAATGTTAGAATTCGTTTCATCACTCCTAAACATGTTAAATGCATGTAGTCTAAAATAAAACTATCAATACAAGAAATTTGCAAAATAATTAGAGGAGTGTAAAACTTTTGGTGATCTTTGTACAAGAAAGCATTAAACTGATGTGTTTCTCTCAGCAAACAATTATGGAAATCATTAAAGACAATTTTATGGTTTTTGTATGTACCTTTTGCTTGACAACGTTCACAAGAAAAATATCCAGTTTGGCCAATAATACCTTTGAGAAAAGAGCGAGCTGGAGCATCACAAATAAAACCTTTTATTGAAAATGGATATCTCTTACCTTCATACAATATTCCAGAAAACTGCAATAACTTTATCTCGTCTATAAACTGAGAAAGAAACACTTCTACAGAATTTGGTTTTAAGAACCCACAAAACAAGCCAATCAAAAAAACATCTGAATGCAAAAACCTCCCTAGAATAGGCCATAATTGTTTTTTAGATGATTTAAAAAGTGGAAGACCATCAATATTAATGAGCAGCTGAACACTATCAACATTATTATTTTGAATTTTATTAAGCTCACTCACAATTCCAACTTCAACTCCAAAATAAGTGAAAAACCCTCCTGCCTTTTCTTCAAAGTCAATACGCCTAGGAGTATTTAGAAAAGTTCGACAATTTTTTGGTAAACAATGCCCTTCACTTATAAGCAATTCAAGAAGATCATTTGTGCAATTATTACTTAATTTATACTTTAGTACCAAATGTCTTAATTTTTGATTGAATGTTAAAGCATCTTTTATAGGGAATATTTCTGGATTACCAATTGATTCAGCCGAAGATATATAATTATCATAATATCCAAAATCAGAACTACTATTATGATCAGAAAAATAATTAACTTGCTTTTCGACGATGTCTTTCAAAGGCTGTGTTGTTGGTATATCATTAGTGTCACTGTCATTGCTGGTTGAATCAACAATATTATCTAAAATTGCATTTAATCTACGGTACTTTTTGAAGTATGCCATATTTTATAATATTGAAAAAAGCTAAATAAAACTTTTGCAAATATAAACGTTTCTATTAACTTATAACATGAGTTAGCAACAACATAATGACAAATAATAACATAGTTATCAACAATATTAAAAAAAAAAAATCAAATACTAAAAGCAAACAAATATATTAAATGCACTCAAACAATATAGTGCAAAAAACAAAGTTTAAAATAAAGTAAACTGCAATCATAAAACCAAATCATGTTTGATTTAAGTAATAAAAATAATATATATTAAATTATATATATAATATATATATATATATATATATATACATACATATATATATATATATATATATATATATATATATATATATATATATATATATATATATATATATATATATATATATATATATGTTATATATATATGCCTATATATACTTATATATACATATATATATATATATATATATATATATATGTATATATACTTTTATATACATATACTGATATATATGCCTATATATACTTATATATATATATATATATATATATATTTATAAATATATACTATAAGTATATATAGTTTATATATTTTATATATGTTTATATATATATACATATATATATATAGTATAGTATATATTATTAATATATACTATAATATATATATATATACATAGTATATATATATATATATACATAGTATATATATATATATATACATAGTATATATATATATATATATATATATATATATATATATATATATATATATATATATATATTATATATATATACATACATACATAAAATATATACATATATATACATACATACATACATATATATATATATAATATATATATACATATATATATACATTATACATATATAATATATATATATAATATATGTACATATATTATATATATGTATGTATGCATGTATACATATGTATATATTTTATATATGTATGTTATATAAGTATGTTATATTATATGTATATTAAACATATATATAATCAGTGACGGATCCAGGGGAGGGGATGGGGGTATGCATCCCCCCCCCCCACCAGAATATAAATACCCTGAAATAATCGAAATATTGAAACTATTGAAATAATCTGCGCTCTTGATCTTAAATTCTAACCACTTTTGGTATCCACATCCCCCCCCCCCCACCAAAAAATCCTGGATCCGTCACTGTATATAATATATATGTATAAAAATCATCAATAAGATACAACGTTTGCTCACACTGTTTGCCATTTTATTTTATTCTGGAATACTTTTTCCCGCTTCTTTAATGCAATTGCGTAAGATGATTTCTTTTTCAAGTCACTGGGATATTTGGAAAAATTATTTTATTTAGTAATATTTTTCCCACTTGTTTTATGCAATGTGTTTAGCCTTTTTATCTTCTTGAAATAAAACTAAAGTATATTGTAAAATTTATATTGGATAACAAGCCTCAAAAATTGTCATTAAAATACCGCTAAAATTTATATTGGCCAATATAAATTTTAGCGGTTTTGTAATGCAAATTTGAGTTGTTTATATCGTATAAACAAATCAAATTTGTATTACCATCTGAACATAATTAAACCACCTGAACATAATTAAAAAAAAAATTATTTTAGTTGTTGATACCGTATCAACTACTCAAATTTGAGTATATTATTTTATTTCAAATTTGATTATATTATGTATACCGCATTATGCATATATGTTGAAAGAGTATATTTTAAATAAAAAATAGATGCGGTTATCATATAGGTCATTCATTATCTTGCTGCGTCACAAATTATACTTTAAAATACTACTACTTTATTCTATATGAAAATCGCAAGGTTATGACGTCAATTTTTCAATTTTTTTTTTTTTTTTTTGATATGTTTAACCCTTTGAGCACGGGGAGCCACGATCGTGGCTATACCGTCAGAGCACGTCGTAGCTTTAAAAGTGTTCATCAGAACTATGACTTTTTCTACAAAAATACCGTTGTTCATAATTTAAAAATGGTACCATTGAATAGAGCACATTTTTTTCTATCTTTTGGTATATTGTTTGTGTATATTTTGTATTAAAGATGAGTGACAGCGAAGAAAGTTTTACTGAAGAAGAAAGTTGTACAAGCGAAGAATATTTAAGTAGCAGTGATGATAGTTTATTTGATGAAGGCACAATATTTTTTATTGAAAAATTGTATACAAATTTATTTAATTTAAATATATCACCAAATCTAAGCATTTGAAGTTTTTATTTTTATGTAGACTCCGGTTCTGATGATGATGCTGGTGTTGATGATGTTTTAGATTTGTGGCTTCCTGTTGTAGGAGATGACAATGGCCCTAATGTTTTTGCTTTTACTGGTGTACCAGGACCTAAACATACTATTTCACCAGAATCAAAGCCCATTGATTATGTTGAATTATTTTTCACTATAGAGTTTTTGGAAAAGTTAGTAACTTATAACAACCAGTATGCTGATGCATGGATACAAAGAAACCAACAGCATTTGAGATCTCATCCATTGTCGATAGGTCATGTATGGATAAAGCAAGGAAAAACAAATCTTTTAGAAATAAAGGTATTCCTTGCTGTTGTTATCAATATGGGTCTAATCAAGAAAGCTAGTATTAAACTATATTGGGATATTAGTCATCCTTGTGCTTCCACTCCCTGGTTTGTTACTCATTTCAATCATGATATCTCTATCCCTAATCAACAGCAACTAAATAAGATTTATAAAGTTCAGTATTTAGTTGAACATTTTAACAAAAAATTTCTCTAT